GTTCTATGTTCTATAATTATAAGGGGTTCAACAGCATCGTATTGCTTGCTTTAACTGATGCCAAGTATCGCTTCATATATATCAGTGTTGGTACTAACGGCAGGGTATCAGATGGGGGTGTGTTTACACAAAGTAGTTTATATAGGTTTTTGGAAAGTAATTGTCGAAACATACCTTCTCCTAAGCCTCTACCTGGCTGTGCAAAGCCTGTGCCATATGTCATTATATCAGACGCTGCTTTTCCCCTGAAAATGTATCTACTTAAACCATACCCATTTAGGGGTTTAACCGATATTCAAGCAATTTTTAATTATAGGTTAAGTAGAGCAAGAAGAATTGTAGAAAATTCCTTTGGCATTCTTGCTAACAGGTTTAGAATCTTGCTAGGAAAAATTAATTTAGCTCCTACTAAAGTAAGAGATATCGCACTAGCATGCTGTGCTTTACATAATTGCCTTATATAAAATTGATATTAATACTAACAGTAATACTAATAATAAAGTGCCCCTTGAAGGATTACAAAGGCAAAGTGGGAATCGCCCTTCAGCACCCGCCATGCAAATACGAGACGAGTTTGCAGCATACTTTAATGGTGTGGGTGCAATAGAAGTGCAACGGAATATGATTTAGTTAAGTAATTTATTTGTTAAAAACTAAAAAGTGGTAGTTTTATTGCTCAGTACCTATCCAACACATCAAAAACACATGTTATAATTTCACGCTTTAACTGCCTAAGTGTTATTTGATTTTTTATTAGTCGTAGTTGTGTATCAAGGTGGTCGCAGAACGTTTCATTCTGATCCTTTTCACTTTTAGCTGGTTTGTTACTTAAAGATTCAAGTGCCGACGTTGATACTTTCAAAAATTTAGTTTGTAAATCTGCATCTCGCTTTCGTTTTGGTTTTTGCGGTACCTAAAGATAAAATATTTTAAGTATATCACATGCCATAAGAATAATTCTAAATTATTACCAAATGTGTTGGAGTGCTATTTATAGAAGTGCTGGCATTACTAGCTACGAATACAGGCGGTGAGTGAGCATCTACTTCAACTTGCGGCCTTCCAAACCTGAGATTGTAATTTTCATTATAATATGTTAGGTAAAATTCGTATTTCACACAATTCTGCAATTCTGGATATTTCACAAGAAAAAGATTGTGCACACGGAGAAAAATGGGATTTTGGCATTATGTTAAATTAAGCGTAGCGTATTAAATTATCAATAGGTAACCTAAAATAGCAATTCGTAAAATAAGTTTATCAGGAAACCAAAGCTGTACCAACCAAGAAGGAAATTAATTCAACCTTTAAATGAGAACATATCATTCCGGGAACCAATATTCTATTTTATAATTTGGGATTGATTTATTAACACATCATACCCATAATTGTAGAAGAAGCGATCACGATAAAGCATGACGTCACACACTTATTATGAAAAAACTAACATTTCGCCAGCTGTACTGTTATTTTTGTATTAAAGTTAGGAAGTTAGGTAAAACATTTCAATACGAATAAGGTATCAGTCTATTATTATAATGTACCATTTTGATTATTGAGTTTCATCGTTATTCGTTATCAACTTATTATGTAGGTATTTTATTGATGTGATGGAATTTGAATTTGGTATTGATTGATCAACGATCAACTATCCATAAACACGTAATGTAGCTATATGATTTTGTTGCAATAAACACAAAATACCTACCTACAATCTTGGTTGATATAGAGCGTGAAAATATCGGATTTCCTATAAAGTTAAGCGTTAAGTCGTATTTACATGCGACGCCAATTCCCAGTATATACGCCAGATCAGCGGAAAATAATCATACTCGAAGAATGTTTGATTACACACCTAAGACCGTTTAGACTGTAGGTACATTGTTAAATTTCCGGGATGTAATATTACTTCGCCATCGCTAATGAGAAGAAATCATTATATGTGGAACATTACGTGCTATACGCATAATTTATCAGTACAAATGGATAGTCTTTAGTAACGTTTTGCTGAATTTTCAGTCTCGAAACTCTTGAATTTTAATTCCTACTTTAGTTAAAGGAGTTCTGTGATGTTTAAGGTGCATTAACTAATCAGTTTTTAAAATAAATGTTAAAATGGATCAGTATACAAGTGACCTATTAGTGAAGTGGGGTTTATTGGAATATGTGACAGCTTTTTCTGGTAAGTAAAAATTTTTTTCTGTACCTATTTCATGAAACGATTTTGTTATGGTCATTGGCAAACTTTTTGCATATGTTAATCCCGAAGCTAATCTTTTGGTTGCATTTTTGCAATCGAACTAATGTGTTTGAATTATGGACACAGATGCTCGTATCGACATCATTGCGCTGCAAATGCTACGGGATCAAGACATTGAAGCAATCATGACACCCATTGGAGACCAATTAAAATTTTAAGCCAATCTATCTCTTTGGAAGGAGGATAATTTGAAAACACAATTAATGGTTAGTATGTACACTTACTTTTTACCTCGTTTTAAGAGAATTTATTTATTTTATTTTAAGTATTTGCATTGAATGTTTAATGCTTGGTAAAAAATGATTGTTGAAATTATGTGGATTTTTCGCGTGTTTATTTAGCCATGAACACATAAACAAATTATTTGTGTTTATCTTCAATTTTAAAACAAATTTTCATACTTATATAATTAGGTACACCATACTTTTTTATTGTTCCTGTTCGCAGTAGTATAGGCTATTCATTTAAGTAGATTTTGAATAGTGTTTTGGTTGTTTTGTTTTTCCATTTTTACAGCGAATAAATATTTGTTCTCTCATCTTCTGTATCTTTTGGAATTTCCTAAGAGTCTAGATTTTGTACCCGACGCACCCATAGATGCCTAAAGTTATTTTTTATATAAATCAATTATCGGTCCACTAAAGGTTACACAAGAAATAAGAATGTCATGAAATTTCAGATAAGTACTTAATGACTAAGCCTAGCTTAAACTTGATACTAAATGCTAAGTATGCGAAGGAACAAGTGCCTAGTAAGAAAGAACAGGTAAGTATAATTATTAATTAATTGTGAATAATGATATTGCTTGAATCTAATTTAATATTTACTAAACATTACCAGAAATATGATGGGGGAGTTAAATGCTCAGAAAACAGGGCACAGCAAAGTCACTGTGTATAATTGCTAAATGATTGGAGTGCTCATTCTAACCTTTTAACAATGTACATTAATTTTCACATGTACCCCGTTCGTCGTGCATTCCAGTCGTCGCCGAACATCCCTGGGGATGCATGGAATCCTTTAGTACAATATAGTATTTCCGACAAAAGTATCAGTATAAGATCAAACAATCATCAAGCAGGATACGTATACATCCACCATAAGCATCCTGATAATTTTGCAGTACAACGAATAGTTTCTGATGATCATGACTTTGCATTTATCACTTTTGTAATGTTAAATCGTCAGGGTACACCTATAAGCAGGCATACCAAGCCACCTGAATTTCCTGTTACTTTAGACGTAATTTAAGGAAGGAATTGCATGTACTTACTGTTATTTTGATGACTGGTTCGCGAGCTAAACCTTTTGTTGTAAACGAGGTTGTAAATCTTCATTTACACAGAACCTTATACAGGTACTATTTATTTCATAACACAAATTTATGTACAATTATTTACAAAATTACAACACCCTTTAATGTAAATTGAGCACTACCAACTTTTGAGTCAACCTACTTCGATTGTAGGCGAAATGTGACTGCTTGAAAACTAAAAAATTGACTAATTAACACCCTAAAACTAAGAACATTTATTGCAACCATATGGGCTGCAATATTAGCGCAAAGGACCGCATGCAAGCGGCTCCTTTGCCTAGTCACGTATTAAATAACTTAAAAATTAGGGTGACAGGCGAAAACAGAAAGAACACGGAAGTCATAAATTGAAATAAACATATGGAATTTGTAAAACCGCACAGAGTGTGTGAAAGATTGAAATGGAAAAAATTCTAAGAGTTCTGAAACAAAAAAAAATAAATGGAACTTATTCTGATTTAACAAAAATACTTATAAACTAACAATATAATGACCGGCGGCGTCTAAATTGACAACATGCTCTTTAATTTTTGCAATCCACTCGTCACATATTGCACGGGGTCTATTGTTATGCCGGCCCCTTAAATCCTTTGGAGATTTTCCTGCTAGAAGTAGGTTGTTTAATCGCTGAACTTGCCAATGTGATACGGCATGAAGACTCATAAATGCCTGCTTGCAAACGGAAATTCGATTTGATTGATTCATAACAAAGTATGAAAAATTAGATTTTCTTTCTTCCTTAGGTGAAGTACCTCTTACTCTGTGTCTCTGAATGGGATTTGCTACCATAAGTCCTTGCAAGTATGTGTCGTGTCTTGTTCGTTTTTTGGCTTACCGTCGTGTAATTTAACCATTATAGCGTTTTTTTCATCCTCAGTGAACTGCTGCATACATTTTTTTTGCAGCTTAGAAAATATTAAACTTATTTTAATGTTTAAGCAAAAATGGTAACTTACCTGCATGGAGGTCCTACAGTCTTTGCTTCCTTTGCTAGAAACATACGCCTGACCTTGCAAGCGTGCTATTTTTATTTTGTTGTGTTTCCAACCATCCACATTCCTTTTTCTTTTCCTGCTACCACTACTATGATTATCTGCTCCTTCACTATCACTGGATGACATTTTTACGTATTTAAAACTGTTAGAAGATGACTAAAACGGCATAAATACACACACGAGACTAACGCTGTGCTTGTAAACAAACATTTGCGAATTGTGTTTGGATTGAGATGAAAAACAGTACAAGTCAGGGACATGTACGGTTTTTACACTCATTACTTTGGCGCAATGTGCCATACACCGTAAACGGTAAAGTAAATCGTACGGTTTTTAAACGCAATCAATGTGGGGCACCTTCTAAAACAAAATGGCTATCTTACTTTAAAATGTCAAATTTTGGACTTGTGAGGTTTTCGAACTCACCGATTCAATTTTCCGGGTTACTAAATCTCTGTATTTCAGCAACACGATTGGCAACATAGGTTTGCCATTTATTTGGATTATTTTTTAGCCACGCCAGTACAATCATGGAATCACACCAATAATATTGTTTGTTTATGTCTATTCGTAATATATTTTTAAATTTATCGGTTAATTGAGCTGCCAAAACTGCTCCACTCAACTCAAGTCGCGGTAATTTGACATTTATTAATGGCGCTACCCTACATTTTGCGGCTAAAAGTGCTACCTTTACTCTACCATAACCATCGATAGACCTTAGATAAAGACACGCTCCAAATGCCCTTTGAGATGCGTCCGAAAATGCATGTAATTCAACTACCTTATAATCGGATATGAGAACTTGTCTCGGAATGATTATTTCATTGATATAATGTAATTTGTTTTTGAACGTCAACCATTTTGTATGCAAATAAGCAGGAACTGATTCGTCCCATGTTAATTTAATTTGCCATAATTCTTGGACCATCAATTTTGCAGTAATGATTATTGGAGCCAGTAAACCAAGAGGATCATACATTTGTGCAGTAGTTGCCAAAATTGTGCGTTTGGTAATTTGTCCTGGTATTTCAGAAGAATTAAAACAGTAAAAAAATGAATCTTGTTTCGGGTTCCAGCCTACCCCTAATGCTTTATTTTGATTATCAGACAGTTTTAATGATTTATTATCAGTATCATCCCTAAGTTCCTTGACATTACTTTTAAATTTTTGCAAAGAAAACCCTGCAGTAAATAGAATTTGTTGTATATTTCGTTTAATAGTCATTCTCATTAATGTCTGTAGATTGTCGGACCCTGTTATAAGGCCATCGACGTAAAAGTCTTCCTTAATTATTTGAGCTTCTAAACCAAATTCTTTTTCATTGTCTAGTGCAGTTTGAATCAAACATCTAATGGCCAAATATGGCGCAGACGCCGCCGTACCGTATGTAACAGTGTTTAACTGATATACTGATAATTCGTCACTTTCATTTTCCCTCCATAAAATTCTTTGATATTTTTTGTGTTCAGGATGTATTTGAATCTGGCGATACATTTTTGTAATGTCCCCAGTTAAAACATAAGAATAAAGTCTAAATCGAGCAATAATTGAAACTACTTCATTTTGCAACTTTGGGCCTACCCATTGAACATCGTTAATGGACAGTCCATTCGTAAGCTTGCATGACCCATCGAACACCACTCTGAGACGAGTTGTTTCACTTGTTTCTCGGAGAACGCAATGGTGTGGCATGTAGAAGGCTACCTGATTATCTCTCTCAATTTTTGTCATGTGATTTAAGGTAATGTATTCATTAAGAAAGTTAGAATATGAAAGTTTTAATTCCAGATTGTTGTTTAACCTTCTCTCCAAGGCATAAAATCTATTTAAAGCAGTGTCATAAGAGTCGCCCAATTTGTTTAAAGTAGGTTTGAAAGGTATTTTAACAATAAACCTTCCAGAAGAATCACGTTTAGTAGTTTGATTGAAATAATCCTCACAGTATTGCTGTTCTGCAGTGAGTATTTTCTCTGCTGAACAAAATTCATCCATTTGCCAAAACCTTTCAACGCTTTTGCTCAAGCTAATGATAGACACGATATATTTATATTTCCTTCATCAAAACTTTCGTCTTTTATCTCACCTGATATGCAGGGGCGCCGACTTATCAAAATTTATGTGGGTGCTCACCAAGCCAGAAGCCTCACATATTATGTCCACAGATAGATATAACCGTCTATCGTAGGTGTAGTCTTTTTTAGTGTATGAAAGAAATTGTATTAACCAAGTACTGAGTAGATTTTTAAGTTTTTATTTTCGATTTATATAAAAAAAACTTTATTTTTATTGCATAAGGCATAACTGTAGATTATGAGAATAAAAGTCTTTAAATAACTTTAATTTTAATTATATTAAAGGTTAGGTAACTAAATTCCATAATCCATTTCGTTAATGGTTATACAAAATCAAAATGTTAATTAAAATGTATAGTGTATGTACTATCTTACTGTAATTTAATCTTCCACATAGAAAACATTACGCCTAATTTCATTGGCTTTTATAAATTTATTTGCAATTTTATTTATGTTAATCTTTGTACCACAGTCTTTGTGTACATTAATAATTGCTAAATTGTTTAATCTTCTTTGCGTCATAGTAGACCTTAGATACGTCAGCAACCTTCTTAATGTAGAGAATGACCGCTCAGAAGTACATGAACTAACTGGGATTGTTAGTGCAATCTGTAAAAATTTTACAAATTCCGTCAACATGTCTCGCAAAGAAGCATTTTCATCCCTACGCAAAACATTCACAATGTCTGATAAATTTGCGACTTTTTCCCCTCTTGACTTGCACACATCTAGAAACATATCCCGATGCAATGTGAGTTTGTCTTTATCAAAGTCTGACCCATAGAAAAGGACAACGTCATCAGCACTGGTTTCTCCTACCGCAAATGATTCTAATCGCGACGTAAGTTCCATAACATCACTTTTAAACCTATGATTCAGTGAATTTACGGTGACATCAATAATTTCAAAAAATATCTGTCTATACATATCTTCTGGTGATTGAAAATTATGTGCAGAGCTACCGTCATCAAAACGTCTTGGGATTGTCCTCATTCTTGGTAAAACTGGTTCGTCAATGTTTAATTTTTTTGCTTGTTCGGTCGCTTCATTCCACAACTTATGGTATTCCTGCCTTTGAGACAATAAACTTTCAGATAAGTTTTTTACATATGAATGTATGTCGCGATAAAATAACGATTTGCCTTGTAGACTGGTTCACTTTTCGAAGATTCTCTGTCCTAGGGGCATTTCAGACAACATTTGGCCAAATAGGCGTTTTTTACTAATTTGGACCTGCTGAACACGAATATCGATGTTGGCATCTCGAAATCTTAACAGGAAGTCCAGAATTCAAGATGGCGGCCAATTTACGAAAATGTTGATATTTTCACTCATGCGACTGATTTTTTCGATCTAAAAACGGATTATAATGTTATTCCTGACGGAGGTACAGCACGATAATAATCGTGACCAAATGTTTAAACAATGATTTCATAGTTTTTCTAACCTGAAAGTGCGTAAAAGTGGAAACCTTTTTTTCATAGTACTATGGCTACTGTTTAAATTTCTTCACATCGTGTAGGTATTAAATTATTTATGTTTTGGCAAGCATTTTAGTTACTGTGCGTCGTGTGATTGCTGGAGGTTTCAATGATTAAAGAAACGTTTTCTGTAACCGTCAGACGACACAGATTTCCTCCTTAGAAACGACCCATTTTTTCGATCTAAAAACAGATTATAATGTTATTCCTGAGGCACTTCACGATAATAGTAATAGTTAACTATTGTTTTAACAATAATGTAATAGGAGGATGCAGGATGCGTAAAATTAAGAATTACGAAATTCCCAGTTCCCCTTTGCTTGCTGAAAGGAGGACTTGCAAAACGACTGTTTCCAATAATCCTGACAAATATAAGTATTCCCGACATGCGTTTATATTGCATAATTCTTATAAAGTTTTGATAACTATACAATCTTTCGAATTTTACGTTAATTTTTAAATGAAAAAAATGAAGGTAGTTCAACTATACTGCGGTGTTTCGGAAGATTCTTATTTTGCTAGGTATTAATTACCGTTCCTCAGGATATATTATTATTATTAAAGGATGAAAGTATATGGAAAGTGAATACAAATTTATTAACACCTTCGTTATTCTCATGGTGTTAGGTCAATCGTCTTCTTGACAATTAGGTAGTACAAATCAATTGAGCTTTGCGATATTTTTACACAGTTTTGACGAACAATCCTATTTACAACGACAAAGGACGATATCTAGAGCAGCCTTCGGAATTAATCTAACGTTGGGAGAATGGGAACGTAGCTATTTTCAATTCAGGATAGATAAGGTAGTCTGAGCGACATTTCATAGTTTATAAGATAAAAAAAGTACATCTTGAGATTTACGCCTGATATGCCGTAATGATGGAAATGGATGAAACGAGGGATGAAATTTTAGAGAAGATTAGATGGAATCGCAAGAGAATGGAGTTCAGAATTGTTAGATCTAAAGCTTCGCAGCTCCTGAAACCTCGAAGTGATGAAGAAGCAACAGGAATGCATCTGTATCTGTAGCGTTTTTCTAGTATCCGCTTCCTTGATGTGAAAAGCTTCTAAGGAGGAAATCTGTGTCGTCTGACGGTTACAGAAAACTTTTCTTTCATCATTGAAGCCTCTCGCAATCACCAGTACGCCGTCAAATGAAGCCTCTTCAAGGTGACGAGACAAGATTTCTTTTGTTTTCCTCTAATAAAAGGAAATTCTTCCATATGAGGTCATGGACCATCGCGGATATCTTTCACACAACGCACAGGAACCAAAATGCTTGCCAAAACAGAAATAATTTAATAATTACACGATGTGAAGAAATTTAACAGTAGCCATAGTACTATGAAAAAAAGGAATCCACTTTTACGCACTTTGACGTTAAGCCTAATTTACATTTGGCAAGTTTACTGACGGAAAGTACTGTCGGACAGTAAACTTGCCACGTGTAAATGCGCGGACAGTGCCAGTTAAATAGAAATAGGGTAGCAAGCCTGGTAGCAAGTTTACTGGCAGAAAGTACTTTCCGCCAGTAAACTTGCCAAATGTAAATTAGGCTTTAGAAAAACTATGAAATCATTGTTTAAACATTTGTTTACTATTATTATCGAGCCATACCTCCGTCAGGAATAACATTATAATTAGTTTTTATATCGAAAAAATCGGTCGCATGAGTGAAAATATCAACATTTTCGGAAATTGGCCGCCATCTTGAATTCTGGACTTCCTGTTCAGAATTCGAGATGCCAACATCGATATTCGTGTTCAGCAGGTCCAAATTAGTAAAAAACGCCTATTTGGCCAAATGTTGTCTGAAATGCCCCTAGAACCAGTTAAAACGCTGTTTTTTATCAAAGTGAACCAGTCTATGTAGTCTGTACGCCGTACGGAAAATATTTATAGAAATCTTTCCTGCTATTTCGTGTGAGTAAAGTAAAAAAATATATCTAAATTTCTTCGTGTTTAGTAACTATCGAGAAAAAAGACCTAAATAGATAAATATCAACCGGAAAATTCTGTGGGTGCATCGCACCCACATAACTTTTTCTGTGGGTGCTTAAGCCCCGAAGCACCCACGTAGTCGGCGCCCCTGACTGATATGACCCATCCTAACTTTGTTTTTTGATATGTCAATCCGTTTTGTTAGATCTGCCCCACACAAACAAGTGACCAAAAAATGCTAGCTCCGATTAACATATCTACTCCCTGCGACTTATTAAATTCAGGATCTGCAATTCTGATATTAGCCGGAATGCTGATAGCGTTGGCGTCAAATGAGCAAGTTGGAAGTGCAGAAGCATTGTTTAAATACTTTATAGTTGGCCAATGTAATGGGAAAAATACTTACCAAAGAAATGTTAGTTCTGGTACAACGAATCCAGTGGGCGCTGCAATGTAGGTCCAAACTACTAGTTCCATGCCATGTAACAGATGGCCGCGCTTTATTACAGAGCCGTGTGAGCTTTACAAATTTACTCACCAGATGGCTTATTGAAAGTTCCTCGGAGGAGAGAACAATCATGCCATTGTTAATACGACACACTTATACTATTTATAAATAAAGTATTTAAACAATGCATATACTGATGTCATTTTAATTTTTAAAGAGAACAAACAAAGACCTTTCATTAGATGATATCAAGACGTGCGTATGTAAACAATGTAACCTAATACCATGGAATACATTGTACCTTCTTGTGGTTTGTCTTAAATTGCATTTACAAATTTTTATGTACAGCAAACTACACCTATTTTTATAGACGTTTCCGTTAAAGTAGCCGGTTGACTTTTTAAGTTTTGCAATTACATATTTGATATTTATGATGGTCAAATGTCTGCTGGCTGCAACTGTCATTGTTTCCCAATCCCTTATGTAGGGAATTTTACGAAACAAGGAAGACTGCTCTCACGAAAATGGACCATATCTAATCGTAAGATTTATTAACGATCCTCGAGATCGTTTATAATTTTGTACTGCTGTCTGTTCGTCTGTCCGTGTGCACGAGAACTTGGTTTAGAATCGTCTGATCGCTTTGGAAATTGGTACACATGTTCTTAAGGATATCGGAAAGGTCGCTATTGTTTTTCAGTTACGTAGACTAACGGGCCAAAAAGTCACAGCCCTAAAGTCGCCCGAACCTCCAAAAAAGGGTATCTTTTATCATTCTTGTTACAAAGAACATATGAATGCCCGGTTTTCTAAACCTCTAGCAACTATGTAAATGTAAAAAAAATATTGCGCATTGGCATTCCAACTGTTGTATTTGCGCAATCCAATTTTTTTATTTGTTAAGATATTTAAATGAAATTTTGTACGTACACACCTCGAGTAAAAGTAAAACTAATGCCTATTCATAAAATTTGTTTCGCGCATGCGCAAATCGATTTTTTTGTTAGGATATTTGTAATTTGTATGTATGTACCTCGAGAAAAAGTA